GAGAATTGATAGTAGAATTTTTCCCAAATCAGAGCAATAGGCCTCATGGTTCCATATAAAATCGCATTGCCTTGTTTCCCAACAGGCATTCTCATCCCAAATGAGCTGGACTTCAATTTTGACCTTTTCACAATCGGCCTCATAAATAGCTCTGGTGGGATTCGAACCCAGGCAATGCAGTGTACACTTTAAACATGCCACATCGCCACTGGATCGCTGGGCAGTGTGCCACTTTTGTGATAAGACACACTTTTATTTGGCAACGCATTCGCTCTGTTTCGTCTGGGGGGGATAAGGAGATTGGTAGTTAAATTTTCCCGCAATCTGATGATTAGGCTTACGGTTGCATTGAATTTTGTACAGACTTGTTTTCTCAATTTCCACCTCGCTCACCTCCCGCCAGCAACCCCAGCGGGACTCGAACCATGAAAGTGTGGCGTACAATCTTGACACGCTAACCAATTCGCCAGACTGCCACGAGTCGCATGGGGTCAACAGGGCAGATGTGCATTTCGAGGAAGGCCAGCCATTCTTTCCCATAGCACATTCCTTGGTGGGATTGCTATGACAATCGACTAGATTACTTATTTTTCGTTTAAAAGTGCGTCTTCTAAATCGTATATATGATCTGCTGCACCGAGCCAAAACAGAAAACTGATTGTAACAATGTTAACATTTTAATGGAAAATCTTTTCTGAATGATTTTTAAGCATATTAGCCAACTCTTTCCGCGAAATATTCTCAACGTACTGAAAAAAACATACTTTTCATCATACAAAACGCATCATTATGTTTACTTGTGTCATTCTCTCTTTTTTTTTTTTGACAATTTATGCATTTAGGAATTAAAGGCTAAAACCCTCATGGAGACCAACTACGTAAAGCACAATTCTGAGGCTTCGCTGCAGCAGCTGACAGCCAAATTGGCGGAAAAGGAGAAATCTATGCGCGACGAGATAGAACAGCTTCGTGTTCGGCTCGACGAAGAGACGAGAGCAAACGTCGAGTCTAGCGCCTTTTTGCACGGCGAGATAGCAAGGCTGAAAGAGGTGAGATCGCCGGAACCGAAAAAAAAGAGATTTACAGTTTTTCAATAAGAACATGCTTCCGCCTAGAACATGTAAGCTGATGTAAGAATTGAAAGTTGGTATTAACAGACTAGCATGCATTTGA